CCATCAAGTATTCTGCAAGGGAAACCGTACAATTAGGTAATTGTTCCTTAAAAAAAATAACTATCAAAATACAATATTGTAATAATATAAAGGGCTATCCCATGTGAAAAGAAATTGAACTCCAGCTTTGAACAATAATGGACTCCAACAAGATATCCAGGTGGAGAACTGTATTTTTTCCTCATTCATGTTGAATTTTAACTTAATATAAAATGAATTACCTCTACCTTCTAAGTCTACCAAAGGTTTTATCGAATTGTTAGTATGAGACTGATCGGTGCTGCCATCTCGTAAAGTGTTGAGGAACTACGTTTCATATTGTATAAGTATGGTTTTAGAAGGCAGGTATAGCGAACTATACATATTATTTTACATATAGTTAGGCCTCCGAAAGTACATGGCGAAAATGTACGGGTTGGTTAGAATATTACCGGAATATGGCGATAGGTGGTAGGTATTTAATATTTAATATGTAATAATATGTAAGTATAGCTATTTATTGGTACTAAATGAATAGTAGTTTGAAATAATAAAGAAACACGTTTTTAAAGATGGTCAAAGTGAAAAGAAGTAGAAAATAAAATATTAACAGTGTGTTTATTAACACACAACATGGAATATATATACTGATTACAGCTAACATTTTCTATATGTTGTGTATTTATCATCAGCACATTTTAATTTTGTTATTTTCTACTTTTTGTTTATAGTTTGGCCATCTATGAAAACGTGTTTTTTTAGTTATTAAACTACTATTTATTTCCTAATTTCATGTTCAGCTAACTATACAAAAGCGTGTTTTTCAGCTTTTTGAAATTGCGAGTCTGTTGCCATTCTTGAATTATGTAACCGTTTATTAGGACAAGAGCCTAAAGTTTTCACATCACCATTCCCAAACCTTCATTGTCAGATTGGTCATAGTGAATCACGTGAGGAAGGAAAAACATCCTTGAAAGCCTAAATCACTACACAAATCATCACAGTGGGCTGACGCCATGCTATTAATGAACCAGAATGGAACGTCCTGACCAAACATAGCCTTCACAATTTCATTACGAAAAATGGGCATGAAAAACACGAATCTCAATATATCACGGGATGGGAATGTTTCGAAAGATGTAAGTACTTCTTAATTAGGCTCCCTCTCTGGAAACTTTATTTCATACTAGTACTTGGGTGCAAGACACTATCAATCATACCAGTATACTTGGTGAAAGACACTGCCTTGTCTCTGGATATAAAAATCGCTCAGCTCATCCTGAAAATACCTACTGATCACGATGATGGAACAAAACTACTAAACTATGCTATTGTAATCGGTCCTTGATAAGTTTCAATTTGATTCGACGTTTTGAAGTGGGTCAAGATCACCCGTCTCTTAGGATGTAACTATTCATACGAATACTTGGTGTAACACACTGCTGCCGAGTTTTTGGATATAAAATAGAACATTGTAAAGTTATTCCAATTAAAAACGATCAATCGAATTCTTGGTGAAGGAACGTTTTGAATTTTTGGTGGCGGAACATCATCCACCATTTCATTCGAGAAAAAAAGTCGCTCATAAAAGTATGCTATTTTCATCGGATCTTGATAGATGTGCGGAGTTTTGATTCAACACTACAGAGATACCCACCAAGTTACATTAATTACTAGTATTATAGTATCATTATTATTATTTTTATTTATATAATTATGTTGTGTGATTCAATACCAACACCCCGTATTATGTTCAGAATATCGACGAGTGCTGGTTTTATGCCTAAGATATATTGAATGCATGATTAAGGAGTTACATAAGCTAGATAAGAGACGTGACATGGAATAGTTAGGATCACCAGTCTAGTTTAGAGTTAGACCAAAGAGCTGCTGACTAAGTCGAATTTTTACAGGATTCAACGTGCCCTGTATGTGTTGCGATGTCGTGTAATGACCTATCGTATCATTTCTACTACAGAGTATATTTTCATGTAATTTTAATCACTTCCTGATTCACAATCGAGGTCAATCAATGCTATTCAAAGATCCCTTTCATGGATAACTATTGGTGCGAATAGTTCTTGGAAAGGATTTATTATTGTGGTTTTCCGTTGACAAATTAACAACTACCATTTGATGTAATCGTGCATCCATTTAATAATAAAGACAGACAGTAGATGTAGACCTATGAGGTAGACGCAGACATCAGGCATTCAGGCGTCATTATTTTCATTCAAGAAAATGGTTTCTTCATTTCTCTGTATGTCTATCATCGTATACCTTTTTTTTTGGTAGCTCAAACTTGAACTAAGCTCAAAGTAAAAATCCAAACACCGTACGGTTATTATACAGTGTGTGTTCCAACTATTTGTAATCGAAAGGAGAATTGAAAATGGATATTCCATATTATTTGAGTGAATACGAAACGCATTTGATATTGAGAAGGTTACGATACAAATGCAGATTGCCAATAATTGAACTCATAAAATTCAAACATATAGCCTTTTTCTTCACTATACAGAGTGAAAAACCATGATGGAATGAGATCCGTAGAGGAGAGCGGAGGAATGGTGGCCATCTATACATTTTTTTCGATCAGTAGATCATTTTATTGCAATCGATAAAAAAACTGAGGGAACAAGTAGACATGATATTACTGTCGATGGAAATTTTGTTGAATATTTGAAAAAAAAAACATTTTTTTTGACAGGATAAATAAAAAAAAAATCTGTAAGACAAGTGCAACAATATTTCTGATTGCCATTTCAATCAGAATATGAAAAAAAAGTTTGCCTCCTCACAAAGTGCTCGCCCTAGACTCTAGTGGATTTTATGGAGTTCTGGAAACAAACGGATACAGTTCAGAGTTTTATTTTCGCAAATCAGTACTAATGTAGAACAGTTGTGGATTTCAACCAACTCCAACAATAAAACTCTCATTTTCGGAGTATTATATCGCCCCCTTCAGAACTTCAGACAAACGCTGTGAACTCTTTCATGACTGAGCACTTTTGATTTCAAAAAACTAATCGACATACCTACTCGAATGACTAATATTAGTCAAACTTCAGTTGATTTTATTTTTGTATCTGATGATGAAAAAGAAGCAAATATTGAGGTCGATGACATTCCTGGGATATCTGATCATATGGCTCTACTGAACAATCAGGTGATAAAAGGAATATCTTTGAATATTCGCATCTTGACTAGATGAAACAAGGATTTGAAGATGAAGATGGCAGACGATATTGCGTAAGGATATTAGGCATCTTAGGCATCACGCTGTTGCCAGTCGTGCCACAATATAATTTGAGTTTAAATAAAATCTCGATCATTATCAGGAATACTAGGATATGTTTATAGGTACTGAAGCATCGTGCAAGTGATAAGTGATTATTAGGGGAATGTGTGAATGTGTCATTGGTCATATTTAATTTTATAGGGTATTCAGTTACTAGTTATATAAATCTGGCAGCGTCGAAATATGTGGTCCAACTCTTCATGCTAGAGCCAGAATTCAGATAACGATGACGTTCGGTTCGGTTCATTACGTCATCCAAGCTGGCGTGTTTCGAAGGTGCCGAATTTGATTATTGAAAAAATATATTTGCGATGATTTTAAATAATGAAATCAAATAAACATCATGAATTGCATCAAATTTAATCAAATCAAAAAGGTACCTTGCAAAGCAAAATAAATTTCAAAGGTTTATCAGGAGGGTCAAAATATCTGGTCAGTAACGTTGGGTCCGTATAGGTACTGGAAACGTTCTTTCGATTTTGTTATAACAGTACCAACTCAAAAATGATGTACTACCCTCTGTACTAGTAGGAACATTAAACTTTGTGCTCGACTTTGTGTATTGATTACATATCAGGAGTAATCAGGACCAAAGACCAAAAATCCAGGACCGTACTGTTGAAACCAATTCGAATGGTCACGTGGCTTCAGTGATAAGGCTATAATAGTGGTCACCCACTCGCATTACGTTCTGCATTTCTGTTATTTCAGGTAGGTTCCTATATCCTTTAAAGGTATAGGCAGGTGGGTTCAGGCAGAGATTATTCAGGGTTCTTTGTTGAAAATGTTGAGCTATTCTAATTCTAAATACTCTCGCAAAAACTTTGGAATTGCCAACGCATTCCTCGAATGTTTATCTGTATGCACGGCAAAAGCGAAACTCTGTTCATCGACATCAAGGTCAAATTCGGCTGCATTCGGCTATCGGCTCAGTAGAAGTTGGTTCAAGCCAAGTAATCAAGTATTGTGCAACCATGCACAGCTCACAGGCCACAGCGTTTTAATCGCACAACACACAAGATATAGTATATTATGTATAGGTATATTCCTTAAACTGTGACACACACCAGTCTAACATCGAAATCGGTTTCTCCAATTCCTATTTACCAGACCACACCAGACCAAAGCATTCAAGCAATCGAGAATCTTAAGGCGGCTTCTCGATCCTCAATTTATAAATAGAAAACGACACTGTCGAGTGCCGACATCCTTCCTTACCATTCTATAACCAATGGGTGGGGTTCTAGTGGGGTTTCATTCGTAAAGAGGTCAAATGGTTCTCGAAATGTGTAACCAGCATACCATCGCATCGCTGTATAGTGCTGCCCCTACCAGCAATCAGCGACGAAACCAACGAACCACCGTGATGTCAGAATACACGAGCGTCTAGCTACACTTTTTCCGACGGTCGCTCTCTGAACTCTCGCGCGGTATAGTAGGTACCGCCTGCCAACTGTAATTTGTTCTGTCAAGTGATTTTTCCGAAAAGAAGATTCATGCTTTTCGATTAAGGTTAGATTATTTAGTCAAGTATTCTCTAATGCAGCGAAAGGATATTTTCCCACCTCTTATTACGTTATTATAGGTACGTCTTGAGAATTCAGAAAGCCACCGATGAAATTGGTATAGGTAGATGAGACGCTTGTTCAGAATAGCGACTGATCAAAGTGGGAGTGGGGGCTCTTACCTGTGGCTCTTCACAGGTAGGTGTATTTTGTGTCCATTATTGGTTAATAATTGTGTGGGACGTACCTATATTGTGCATTTCTTATCAAAATTGTTGTTCAGAGGAAATATAGCTCGGTAAGTTTCGATACATTATTTAAATAAGGTTTATTGACGCAGGTAAAATTGTTTTCAATATCATAGAAGGAATTAAGATTTCTAACTTGATGTCGAGGTGCGCAACAAGTTGCTACCTGGATTTGACTCAGCCAGACAATGTAATCAACGTAGGTACCTACTACCAGTTAGCAGTTGAAACTCTCTTTTTTTTTCATACTATACTAAGTGTATAGTTAAATCGTTCATTTTAGTGTGTTTTGACATCACTGCTTTTATCTATTTGGTTTTAATAAGTTGCAATGTTAAATATATTTATGAAGCTCTAGGTCAACCAGTGTACCTGTTCGAACAAACAAAGAAGTGCTTCTTTACCTATGCAATGTCGTTTCGGTTAATCAGTTATACCATTGATATATTATAACGCCACCAATATCGGATATTCGTATGATATACAAGGTGGTTCAGGTTTGAATGATTTATAGTATGGTAGGTATATGGCTTGAAACAAAATATGTAGGACCCCACCTCGGTCACCACTTTGATGCAAAGACACCATCCATTTCGCTTCTTAACAGAAATATATAGAATGATTTTGTTTCCAAAATACCTAAGTCATAAGTGAGTCATAACTATTGGGACATTGGCTAAGGGCGGAGTTTGCTGTGGAAAAAGATACAGGGCGTTTCAATCGAAAAAGTAGTGACTATATATAAACTTGCATCAAAATTCATTCCCTGACAAGAAATGTAAATCATCAGCAACAATTATCTGACAATTCAGCACACTCTTTATATGAATGAAATAATATTTGAAAACCCCTTCCGAGATTTTGAACTGTTCAATTGCGTTTTTACCGAAAACGAATGAAAACATCGTTTTTAAACCAACATACCTACTAGGATTACGTAGAAATTAATGTTTCTGTCATATTTTCTAATCGAAGTCACTAAAAAGTTTTGTCAATAAAGTCATCAGTCGATTTCATCATCCGGCATCATTCACGTGGCGCCCCCTTTAATGAACTGTAGAATAATACATAAAATAATATGCCTTGTATTAAATTATGCCTCTGTGCCGATTTTGATAACAATTGATGAATATACAGTAAAATTATCTGCAAAAAACGAAAAAAATATTTCAACCTTCTGTATATTTTTCCACAGCAATATTTCATCAAGGCACATTCAATTCTATCGCCATATTTTGGTAAAAACAATCTGCCCTTAGCCTATGCCCCAATAGTTATGACTCACCCTGTATAGAGTTGTTTCCACTTTGGTACTGAAAAATGATAGGAGCATATAGCCATGCATTATTGATTCACAGTTACCTTAGGAATTGAAAACCTTGGTATCATAAAATTGCAAACATTGGGGTGGATAAACCAAGAAAGTACCCTTTTTCTTTTTCCATCAGTAAAACATGCTGCAATCTTGTATAGATGAAATCTGTCTAAGTCTGGAAACCCGTCCTCATTTTCTTGCCTATTATCTTACTTAGCAACTATTCTTTGAAGGTTGGAAATGTTTGTATCGAGAATGTTGAAAAATTCAAATATTTAGGTGTGATATTAGATCGCAAGCTTTCATTCACATGCAAATTACATAATATATGAAAAATGAATTATGGAATATTTTATTCATCTAGATATTCATACTACCTCCAATTTTTTGCCAAGAAGATTGTTTACAATACTATAATTCTCCCACACCTCAATTTTTGTTCAACTATTCTATATATTTTTTGAATCAGTATGATTCGAAAAGAATACAAAAATTGCAAGACAGAGCGATGTGTATCATAATGGCCTGCAATAAGTACACACCCATTGAAAATATGTTGAACATTTTCAATACCAGACAGAAAGAACACTTTTTTATTCCACCGAGTAAGAGATTAGGAAAAAAATCCATTATTTTTTAAGGATCGAAACAATTCAATGATTTGTCATCTGATGTAAAGAGTGCTTTTTCCATGAGCATATTCAAAAATAAGTTGAAAATGCATTAATTGAAATGATCCAACTCGATTTTCTGAAGATTTTAAATTGTTTGTTTTTTGTACTGTAAGTTTATCGTTATTTTCATGTTAATCTTAAGTTTGTAAATCGAATGTCTAGATGTGTCTTGTTTATTTTTATCTCATGACTGTTTTGTTCAGATACGTGTATACAGGGTGTTCCTTTATGACATGCTAATATTCAAGCGGGCGATTCTTGGACCCATTTCAAGAATAAAACTTCATATGAACTTATGTCGTAAACGTCCTAACTTTTGAGATACAGGGTGTCAATGTTGAAAATATGCATAGATTATTTGTTTGTCCACCCTATATTGCTTTTCGTCATGAAAAAATTCAGTATGCTATGTGACTGAAACGGTGAAAAAAATCTGGTCTCGTTTTTCCATTTTTTCTCGAAAACGGATCGTTTTATCGAGTATCAACAAGAGGATTTTTTTGTACAGAATTGAATGGCCTTCGATAGAATCATATTAAATTTGGAAATTTTCCTTCGTTGCTCACATTTAAGTGAAATATAAACAATAATATCCTCCAAACGGCGCCACTGGTAGAGAAAATGAAAATTTGTGCACATCAGAAAATCCACCTCGATGCATAGAAGACATGTACCAAATTTGGTAAAGATGTCTACAATATTATCTCAGTTATTATTAAAAAACTGATTTTTTTTTCAAAACTTTATCTACCTGTATCTCAAAAGTTAAGACTTTCAAGACATACATTAATATGAAGTTTTTATCTCAAAATGAGTCGAAGAATTACCCCCTTAAATATTAGCATGTCTTTAAGAATCACTCTGTTCTGTATATTAGCTTTTTTGCTAATATTCGACGTTATACTCTAGGGTACAGATGAGGTTATTGAGGAGAATGACCTAACTTGACAATAACGTGAAATGAGAAATATTTCACCTTCCCGATTAACAAACAGACAGTATTTTGGAAAACTTAAAAAATCCACATTTCCACTCTCCAAAGAGGTGAAGAAGTTGAAGAATTTGATCTAAAATGAAAACCGTGGGAAATGATCATCAGAATAAATGAAAATTGCTATTGCATCTGTTCCATGAAAAAAGTTTAAATGAATTCTTATATAGCTATATATTAATGACATTCAAATATTTCCAGACATGCCTCTTGAACACACTCGCACCTCTATGCTGCATAATCGATCTATTTCCATCAGCATTTTCTTATCATAATAATATGGGAATCGATTAATTAGTCGCTATGGCTCCGATGTTTTATTGTTCGTATTGTTCGAGAATGTTTTTATAAATCATTCAAAGAATAGTTACTTTGTGTGAGACAGCTATAGATAGTCAAATGCGACTCATGGCACTCTGGTAAACGCGCAGATTGTACTTATCATGAAATATTGATAAACTTGGTATTTTTGATAGAATTTTTGGGATTTCAATTACCGTAAATTTCAATTTGAAGTGGTACCTACCAATTTGTGCTTTAGTATTTGAAACCGGCATAATTTATTGTACCCAGTTGTATCCAAGGTTGTATCTATATATATTCTGTGATATTGATATAGAGGTAGCCATGTGCATTGGATAGGTATCGAATTTTAATATCGATGATAGCACTATACAATATACTGTATAGCCTACTCTGAATTCGATGATTATATATATTGTATACTTTCTCAAAACAAACACTAACCTTAATATACAGAGTGTGACCAAGATGAGGTTGCACAGCATAATTGATATCTCTGAAACGGGAGGAGATAAGTACTAATTCGGTTGAATGGGAAAAAGTTACTCATTTGGAGGATCCTATACTAACGGCCTTAAAATATGTTCAAAATTGTTCATAGTTTTTCAGTTATATCGAAAGAAGTGAATTTTTGGGAAATTAATTAAATTTTTTTCATTGTTATTATTAGAGATGCAGAAGAACCAAAAACACTTTTCGAAAATATATTGATGATGGCTAAAACTAGGTCGAAACACATTCAAACCACCTTGTATAATACATGGTTGGATTCAGAATGAAAAAAGCTTCAAGAATCTGCCAACACATAATCAGGACCGTATAATTAAAAAAAAAGTTGATGATGGTTTCACAAATACGAAACGTCGCGTAGAGAAATCAATATCACCATGTTAAATCTCATCAATAGTTGCTATGGAAAAGTATTTTCAGTTTTTCTGTATAACGGAGATAAAAAATAAAATAGATTTTCCAAAAATTCACATTTTTTGATATAATTGAAAAACTGAAAACAATATTGATATTTTTCGAGGGCCAGAGTCAACATGAGCTTATCACAAAAACATTAGCTGTCGTTCAATTCTGATTGGTCTTTCAGCGTTGATGTATTGAACGATGTAACCATGGATTGCGAAGCAAAGTGTGTCAGTTTGGCATAAAATAATTATCTCTGTACTTGTCAGAATGAATTACTCATTTCTAATAAATGCTTTTTATGATTCGTGAACCTGAAGTAGTCTAACAAAATATCACTCTGTTCTGAATATCTTCTCATAATTCTGTCTTTCATTGTTAACTCAATTGTGTTCCCTTACAGCAATACCCCTCGTCCTGACGGACTCGCGGTATTGCTCGGCAACACGATTTCGTGAACAATGAAGCGACAGAATTATCTCGAATATTCAGAAAATCGTGATATTACTTATGATGACGCTCACTTTGAGCCAAGAACTTCCGAAAACAGATTTATTTCCTGGAATTGAGAGTGCTTTGAAGATCCTTGTTGCTTTACCTCGTAAGACTTATACAGTTGAAAGGTCATTTAGTAGCAAAACATGGTTGAGGAGTACCATGTCTGAATCTCGGCTCAATGGCCTCGCAATGATGATTGTACAACGGCAGCGTATTGCGAAAAGCGTTCTAAATTGATCACCAAGACGTCGTAATAAGGGAATATGAGAAGGAAAATATCATTTCTTTATTCAAAAGGATACTACTAGACCTAACTCTGACTAAATGAATCTATTTTTCACAAAATGTATTTTTCGA